CGCAACCATTTCTTTCTCATGTGTTGAGTATCTTTGTTCAGCATCATTCAACTTTCTACTTTCGAAGGCTACTGGATGACCTTCCTGCACTAATACGCCACCAATCGCCTTGTCTGACGCATCAGTGTGTACTTCAAACGGTAACTCAAAATCAGGCAATTTGAGTATAGGTTCTGATGCAATAGCATTCTTTAAATTTTGAAATGCTTTTTCACACTGTTCGGACCAAACCCATTTTGCATCTTTCTTCAACAGATCTGTCAAAGACGCTGCCTTCTTTGAGTAACCAGCAATAAACTTTCGATAATAGTTAGCCAAGCCAAGAAACGACTTCAAATCCTTCACATGACGAGGTGCCTGCCAATCAACAATGGCCTGCACTTTCTTAGGATCCATTCGAACTTGGTTTTTACTAACAAGATGCCCCAAGAACTTTATCTCTTGTTGAGCAAATTCACACTTTTCCATCTTGACATAAAGTGTGTATTTTCTCAATTGAGACAGAACCAGACTTAGGTGATTAACATGTTCTTCCAACGTTCGACTATATATAACAATATCATCTAAGTAAACAACAACGAAGTCATCAAGGTAGTCAAACAGTACATTGTTCATTAAATTGCAGAATGTTGCCGGGGCATTAGTCAGCCCAAACGACATTACAAGGAATTCATAGGAACCATATCTAGTTACACATGTTGTTTTTGGTTCATCACCCTCTGCTATCCTAACCTGCCAATAGCCTGCCCTCAAATCAAGTTTTGTGAACCAGCATGCCTTGCTTAACCTGTCCATTAAATCTTGCACCAACGGAACCGGATATTTGTTCTTTATAGTTGCCTTATTCAGCGCTCGGTAGTCTACACACATTCTCATTGTTCCATCCTGTTTCTTTTGAAATAGAACAGGGGAGCCATATGGAGCTTTAGACGGCTGAATCAATCCAGCATCTAGCAATTCATTCAATTGTTTGCGTAGTTCAACCAATTCTTTAGGAGCCATACGATAAGGAGCCTGTGCAGGGGCAACCGTACCAGGCAGCAACTCAATCTTGTGATCAATATCCCTCCTTGGTGGTAATTTCTTTGGTAATTCAGGTGGCATAACATCAGCATACTGTTTAAGTAATTCAGCAACACAATCAGGCACTTTCATCTTCACATCAGGTTTAATTTCGACCAAGGTAGCAAGTATAGTTTCATCACCCTTCTTCAGCCCTTTGTCAATCGACATAGCAGACAACAACATTTCCTTGTCTTTCTTCTTCGCAACTTTATTAATGTTTCCAAACGGATGAACACCCTTCAGAAAACCAGCATCACTTCCACTCATTACCATCACTCCATCTAAGTGAGGAAACGGAACAAACTGGTATTTTCTTAGGAAATCAATCCCAAGTATAATTTCAAAGTCTCCAAGCGGCATCACCATCAAATTATGTTTTCCCACCCAATTTCCAGTCGACATAGACACACTATAAGCCATGCCCACAATGGCTTGTGCCTTAGCATTGACTGTCTTTACGTAGGAAGGGCTTTTAGACAACTTCAGCCCCAATTTTGTAGCAATCTTCACATCTACAAACGTGTGTGTGGCCCCTGTATCAACCATTGCCATCACACATTGTTCCTTCACTTTCATTTCTATATGAATTAAGGAAGCATGAGGATTCGAAGTGCTAGAGATCTCTCCAACATTATTGATCCCCATAATGTGATTGAAGGATAATCCCAATGGGTTTGCCATTGCAGCCACGATTTCTTCATCCTCCTCCCTTTGATTCACATTACCAGCAAGCAAAGCATTCACTTTTTCCCGATTTGGACAAGATTTGGCCAAATGAGGACCACCACAAGTCCAACAGCCTTTAGAGTTTCCATCTTTACTCTTGGGTCTGTCTTTCCCATCCTTCATTTGTGCCTTTCCTTTATCGTTTGCATTCTCTTTACGACTATCCTTTCTCCATTCCCCTTTCTTTTCATTCTTTTTCTTATTTTTCGAAGTAGAAGGGACATCTGTCGAAGGACGAGTCGTCCGGAAATCTACCAACGAATCAGCAGCAGCAATTGCCCCAGGCAGATCTTTAACATTCTGCCTTCGTAGTTCGTTTTGAGCCCAGCCTTGCATGCCCGAAATGAAATTGTGAAGTTTATCCTCATCAGACATATTTTGTATGTCTAACATCACAGAGGTAAATTCTTTTATATATTCCCTCACTGAACCCGTCTGCCTTAACCTTTTCAATTTATCCCTTGCAAGCCAAGATGCATTGCTAGGAAGAAATTGATCGCGCATTTCTTTTATAAGCTTATCCCATGTATCAATTCTAGGACGACCAGCACTTACGTCGTCTGCATTACGAGTCCTCCACCAAAGTTTCGCATCACCCGACAAGTACATTGTGGTAATGTTTAACTTATCAGCGTCCGGCACTCTTGCAGCGGTAAAGTACTGTTCCATGTCCCATATGAAATTTTCAAGTTCTTTAGCACTCCTTGCGCCACTGAAGGCTTTAGGATCTGGAATCTTAACCTTAGATAATTCAACACGAGTCAAACTCAACGCAGCCACAGCCCGACACAAAACGACGAGTTCTGCACGAAGGTTCTCATTTTCCTTCTGCAGTCCCTCCAATTTCTGTGTAGTTGTAGCACGAAAGTCCAAGATTTCAGTGATGTGGTTATCAACATTTTGTCGATATCCACCAATTTCTCCCTGAACTTTCTCAGCGTCCACTCTCAACTCAATGATTTGTGTGAATAAATCCACAAACGTAGGGTCTGCCAGAACATCTTCAGTAAACCCGACGAAGGATTCAATTTTTCGTGCCAACTCCCATAGTTCTGCGTTTTTCACCATTGTTTAACCGTGCTCTGATACCAATTGAAAGAGGGTCAATTTGTTTTTCTCGCACACCACTCTAGGCAGTCTTACAGCGTCTGTAATACTTCAGCCTACTTACACCCACAGAATTGACTAAGTATAGAAATACTTAAACAGCAATGTCAAACAATAAACAGGCAGCGTTTACAGGACTAAGTCCCAACCTTTATTAATCGATAATTAATACAAAGGAAGGCTTCACAAATCAGTCTAAGGCTAAAGAACTCTCTGTCCCTTGCCTTAGACGAATTTCCACCTTAAATCAAAATTCTGCACAATGGCAGTTACAAGCGGTTACATGCGGCGGTTACACATGACACCTGTCCGACACATGTCAGCCCAGGGTTCAAAACTAACTTTCCAACAGCTATATTTCCAACAGATAGAATCTAATTCAAATTACATTCTTATCTACACGAAATACTAATATTCTAACACTTAGAATATTTCAGGCTTCATTCCAACACTTAGAATAATCCTGCCAGCTTCCAACACTTAGAATATTTTAGCTGTCTTCCACACTTAGTTTTATTTCAGCAATTTCGGGTGAACTGCCTTTGTCTTTGACCTTGCCAAGTCTTCACAGCCTTGCTTCATCAAGTCAACATGCTGTCTTGCCAACGCCCTTAGCCCGCACGTAAACCATGCACGTTCAAGCTGCCTTGCCAACACCCAAGCACCTTGAACTTGTGTTGCACTGTTTTGCCATCATCCATGCCAAGACCAATGCCCAAGTCCTTGGCATGTCTGCACGTAGTTAGATCAAGTAGATTGCGGGTCTAACAAATACCCTTCGTTCTACTGCTTTTTCTTGATTCAATAGTTATGTAATATTGGATTCGGGTTGATTCAAACAGTCTCAATTAAATTTATAATATCAGCATTACTTAAAATATGAAGAGATTAAATGAATTTATTTGATTACATAATTTTTGCAAAGCTAAAACTTTTTTCATCATAACCATCTATTTTCTATTTATAATTCATCCACCTATTTAGTAACCAAAATAGGGGATTTCTTACCTATTGAAAATTACCTGTAAAAGTAGAAGTTTGTTTTTTTTTTTTTTTAAATAAAAAGGAGTAAATTTTGGTTTTGACAAAAAAAAATAATAAAGTCAGACGCATATCACCGACATTGTGGTCAATTCTGAAACCAAAAAACATGATTTTGCATCGGTACCGAATTATTTTTTAATCTTTTATTCCTTTGTAGATCTAGAATGTTTGAATGGTTCTGATTATACGCGGCATCCACCTAGAAATTAATATTAATGGACGGATTCGAAATTTAAAGTCGTAATTATAATTTTAAACTTGTAGCTTCATATTTGTTATTTCATCTGATATGATTTATTTGTCTTGTTTAATAATTTTTTTACATAACATATTTAAGATTTGTAACATTCAACATATCTTTTATTTAAAATGATTATAAAATTCAAAAATATAAATTTATGCTCCGCTTTAAAAATATTAAATTATGAACCTGATATTGCAAAGGGTGAATACAATTAGCGTGTTAGGTAGAATAATGTCAATTTTGGGTTATTGGTGTCACCCAACCCATATGGATCTAATCCGGAGTGGTTCAAACATATTAGTGGTTTAAAGTAAAAATTAATTGGGATTTAAATTTAAATTGTTAATAACTTTTATATAATTGATTTTTTTAATTTTTAATTAATAATATAATTATTTTTATTTTAAATTATTTTTCATGAAATATAGTACTTCAAATATGTCATTAATTTCTTCATCTTCATGAAAAAATTTACTTTTTTTACAAATAGTATTCAATATTGTAAAAAATAATAACTTATAGTCCAATATTATTAAAAATAATACCATCTAAATTTAAAAGTCTATAACATATGTATTTTTTTTAACACTGTCGAGTGAGGTTTGATCTAATAGCTGCCCCCACCCACCATATACTTCCGAAACCGCAGCCCCCTTAATATCTCCCAAGGCCAAACAAACGCGTTACATTTCAATCCTTTCAATTCACAGCTATTTTGCTTCATTTTATTCAATTTAATTCCCCTTCTTCGATTCTTCCTCATCCCTTTATCAAACTTTACTATATATATTCTCATCTCAAAACACACACATTCACAATAACAAATTCTAATTTATCCCTTTAAATCACTACTCTAATTTTCTATAATGTTGCTGCAGCTTTCTCTTCTTACACTAGTCTTACTATCCCCTGTTTCCGCTGATAATTTCTACCAAGACGCGGCGGTCACGTTTGGTGACCAGCGCGCTCAGATACAAGATGGAGGGCGCCTTCTCACATTGTCACTTGATAAAATTTCAGGTTCCGGATTTCAGTCTAAGAATGAGTATTTATTCGGAAGGTTCGATATGCAGCTTAAACTCGTACCTGGAAATTCTGCTGGCACTGTCACCACATTCTATGTAAGTAATAACACACTTTTCGTATTCCTACTATAACTAATTAAACAAAAACAAGAACATGTTGACTCAAGTATGTTTTTTTTTGGGTGTAATTTGCAGTTGTCTTCTCAAGGAGCAGGGCATGATGAAATTGATTTTGAGTTTCTAGGAAATTCATCAGGACTACCTTACACGGTTCATACCAATGTTTACTCTCAAGGAAAAGGCAATAAAGAACAACAATTTCGTCTCTGGTTTGATCCAACTTCGTCGTTCCACACTTACTCTATTGTTTGGAACTCTCAACGGATCATGTACGTAACAAGATAAACAAAACAATTACAAATATTTACTGATATATAATGTCTGACATTTTGGGGATTTTTTTTTCAGATTTTTGGTGGATAATATCCCAATTAGAGTGTTCAACAACCACGAAGCACTTGGTGTTGCATACCCAAAGAATCAAGCAATGAGAGTTTACGCGAGTCTATGGAATGCTGATGATTGGGCTACACAAGGAGGACGGGTGAAGACAGATTGGTCTATGGCTCCGTTTACAGCTTCTTACAGGAATTTCAATACAAATGCTTGTGTTTGGTCAGCTGCTACGTCTACTTCGTCTTGTGGAGGTTCTAAGACTGAGTCAGTAAACAATGATGAGACATGGCAAACGCAACAACTGAACGCTAATGGAAGAAATAGAATACGATGGGTTCAGCAGAAGTACATGATCTACAATTACTGTGCAGATGCTAATAGGTTCTCTCAAGGCTTTTCTCCTGAATGCAAGCGTTCAAGGTTCTAAGGCGGATATATATAGTATATGAATGTAAAATTATGTTTGTTTCACTTTTCTATTCTTTTAATTTTGATCAGGTAAAAAAAAGAACATAGTGTAATTATTTGTGTATGCAATATATTCTTTATTCTTTTTGTAATCATGAAATAGAAATAATAATGAATTGTTTTCCTGACAAGCATGTCCATCTTTGGGGGATAGTGGTAAAGTTTGCGTACATTTTAACATAACCAACCTCGTGAGATTTCACTTGGTATGTCATTGCATTTTTCATCTCTTGTCATTTCGAATGGTTCCATAGCTGGCAACCTTTGTCACTTGGACAACAAAATGTCAATCAGGTAGAGGTCAACATGAAAATAGTTTTTTGTTCCTTGTTAGTACATAGTTTTTCATGTTGAAGACACAAGTTCGATTCCCATAAGGGCTAGGTGCTCATTTCGGCCACTTTCAATTAGTGTTCATTGTTGAATGATCGTTCACTATCTGGTTGTTACACTAGCCTTGGACAAGTTCTCTGAAAATAGAAACTAGAATGGAAAATGTAGCTCAAAACTAACCAGTAATTGTATCGCCAATGTACCTTCTTACACAAAATTATCATCTCAAGTAATACAACAACAATATACAACTTTCTTGAGCATCAAATTTACTTTCACCTTTTCTAAGTTCTTGCTTAATACATTCATAAATCATACCAGAATACTCTCGGAGAAAAGGCTTGGCCCTCAGAACTCACTTGCAAACACGTACTCCTTCAGACCACTTTTATTTGTCATGTTACGTTTTTCAAAAGTCAATTTGACTAATTTTTAAAGTTAAAATTAGATTATATTAATTCGATATTTTTAAAATTAAATTAGATTATATAAAAGCTATACGATGGTAGTTGAATCTATACATGGCATTGTTCATGCTATGTACAACATATTTCTATTTCCACAACACAAAACATAACTCAACATTGTCACCTTCGATCAAACAATCAAAAAATGAAATTCTCCGTTTTTAGTTACTTCGTCTTTCCCTGCTCCGGGATACGTGAAAATCAACAGAGATGACAGTTTTATGCCTAAATCAGGAGAAGCAAGATACGGAGTCATTACACGTGACGACAAAGGAACGTGGTTAGATGGATTCCATGGTCGACTTAATATAAAGGCAACGTCGAGTCTGACTCCAGAGTTGTAGGCTATTGACGAGGCCTAAGACAAGTGAAACATTGCTACTTGAAAAAAGTTATTATTGAAACCGAGTCGAAGGAGGCCTTGATGTTACTAAGTGGTGCCAAAAAAGTAGCTGCAAATCATCCTGATTATAAGGTCATAGAAGATTGCAAGATTCTATTGTCTGAGGTTGACACTTGTTTTATTCGTACATTGAGACAAAGTAACAACTGCTCAGATCAATTGGCAAAGTTAGAGAGAAAACAAAATCAAAACCCAGTGATATTAGATTATCCACCGCCTTTTATGCATCAGTGGCTTCTAGCAAACATGGGTCACGTTGCCTATGCTTGGTATCCTAAGCATGCAACGTAATGTGGATTAGGAACAAAAAATATTAGAGTTAGTTAAATTGCAAAATTTGTAAAAAATGTAAAGAATTACAAGAAAATTGCAATATATATTTTCGTTGATGTGATACGATATATATATTTTCTTGAAATTTTCGTTACTTAGCTCTATTTGATAAAAGGTTTTAGCAAAAACTAGCGTAACCAACGTTTTGAAGAAATAGTTAATTTATAATATATATATATATATATTGAGGATGCTAATTGCTAGATACCCAACAAAATACAGAATGCTGGTGGAAATGAAGAATGTAATATTTTCTTAATGTATTTTTAACTCTACATATGGACTTACTTGATTCTCTCGTTGAAAAAATTGACGAAGTAAAATTTTGTTTTATCAATATTATTCTTAGGATAACTCAATGTATCAAATTGTCTCTGCTCCGTCAATATGGGACAATTCAACATCCCACTCTACAATGGGTGGAGCTACATCCATTCTAAGAGTGATCTTAGCTAGAAAATTACACCATGCATGTAGGTCAAATTTTAGCTTTAAGGAATATAAATTTAACGTTTAACACCCTTCACATAAGTTCTTCCTTCCTTCGATGAAAGGTCTAAAGGATATTATATTATTTATACTTCAATTCAGCCTATATATATAACTTCGAAAAGAATAAGGAAGATGTTGGACCACACAAAAAGCCAAAATTGTCTATGTTGTTCAAAAGTAGTTGTTGCTATGTTCTCGTGTTAGCTCGAATATTTCATCCTTTTTTGATACGATGAAGAGTGGTTGATTGATCACATTTTATCAAAAAATTATATCTTTTTTATAGAAAATTTTATACATATAATACAGATTAAATCATGAAACACTCTTAACAATTCTTTAGTTTTAATTTTTCACCGTATATGTTTAAGGGCACGAAATTTAAAAGTTTTTTTGTTCTTTTAGTTATAAATATATGCTTCAATTTAAAAATACTGAGTCATGAGCACAACATCGAGTTAATAACTCATAAGGTTATTCAACTTTGTATAGTTCACTTACAAATCCACTCAATTTTGAGTTGTTCACTTAGAAAGTCACTTAATTTTGAATTGTTCACTTCAAAAGTCAGTCAACTTTGTTTTATAATTCAAAAGTCACTCAACTATTGGTGGTTCACTTAGAAAGTCACTCAACTATTAAGTTGGGTCAAAAATTCATGTGAACCAATACTTTAGCACCACGTGTTTAATTTAAACTTTTTATTTATGTCATATTATAATTCTGTTAAAAAATGACATTATTAACTTTAAAAATAACCTTAAGGACAATTTTGATTTAATAGGTGAAAAAAGGACATTTTTAATCTATTTTTAATATGTTGAGAACATTTTTAACCCTTTTCCATTTAATTTATCATTAAATAATAAATCATGTATCAATTACAAGTCAAAAGACCCTAAATGAGAAGTAGTTACATTTACAATCAATTATAATATTAGATTTTTGCATTTTGTCACCATTTTTATAAATATTAGTACTAGCAATATCTCTAACATAAAAGGCCAAAAAAACACTTAATACCACATACAACACTAATTAAATGATTTGCATTTAAACACAATTGGGAGCTTTATATTCTTGCATTATCTTTTCTGGTGGAAAAAAAGCATCGTGTAAATTATTATAGATAGATAACTATATCTCAAATTTAATATAAAATTGTGTAAAATATTTTATAAAAAACACACTTTAAAAAGATATTGTATTCTTTTACATCATAAAGTAACATGTATGTATATTTAATATAAAGCAACTATCATAAATAGTATCAAAACTATCTTAATTTATATTTGATTCATGCCTAATTATAATAATCTCTTAGTTTTGAAATAATTAACTCAGAGCTTTTTGCATTGACCTTAATTGCCAAATAAAAACTTAATTAATGAACCCTAAACCTGTTAAGGTTATGATTATTTGTTTCCGAAATTATTTAAAATCTTGAACCCAAAACATTCTATTGTTATGATTATTTATTTTTAAAATTGTTTGCTAGTACCACTTTAATTTATTTATTTCTAAATCATTTAGAATTTCGATTAAGTACTCAATATAATACTACTTGAAGTACTTGCCTTCCAAATGTTTATTTAACTATATTTTAGTAATAAATAAGTAAAGCCAAACATAATTATGATGGCACTGCTCATGCCTAGTTTTGACGTATAACATATCCTCATTTCCACAACACAAAACACAACTCAACATTGTTACCTTCTATCAACAATAGAATAACAAATTTTCTTGTTCATCGTTAGTTGGTCTTTTCCTCCTTGAGGATATGTGAAAATCAAATCAGATAATTTTATGCTTAAATCAGGAGAAGCGGGATACGGAGGTATTGTGCGCGATGACTAAAGTACGTGGTTAGGCGGATTCTATGGCTGACTTGATATGAAATCAACGTCACTCCAGAATTATAGGCTACTCACGCCGTCTAACACAAACGAAAAATTACAATCAATCTGTAAAAAGTAATTATTAAAATCGACTTGAATGAGGCCTCGATGTTGCTAATTCGTGTAAAAAAAGGTAGCGGAAAAGTGCAAGATTCTATCTTGTCTAATTCATACGATGAGACAAGATAATAACTGCATATATCAATTGGCAAAAGTTTGAAAGTTACAGTATCCACTGCCTTTTATGCATCAATGGTTTCTATCGGGTCACGTAGCTTATGCTAGGTACCTTAGCATGCAATGTAATGTGTATTAGGAACAAGTGTTTGTTAAATTTGTAGAACATGTAAAGAAAATACAAGAATATTGCAATATTACACTAATAGAAAATAGTCGGTACACAGTACGAGCCCAATAATATATATGAAATATTTAAAATTCAATATTTTTTATCATAGAAATCTTCATTAATTAGCTGGTGCAAACTTTGTAAACGTATTATTCAAAAAAAAGTTTAAATGTAGTATCCAAAAATAAAATTTGTATCATTTGTGTTTACAAATTATTCTCTCTAACATGTATTATAAATATAATGTAGGTGTATTAAAATATATGATAAACGTATTTCTCTAATATATGATAAAATTTATCTCTCTAATATGTATTATAAGTATCCCGTGAAAAAAGAAAATATTAGTGTTATCAATGATAAATATTTTCTTAATAGAGGATATCTATGTAAGTTTTCTTTATAATACGTGGATAATATTTATATTTGAATATAATGTTTTAAAAGTGAGCTAACAAACAAACTATAAGTTATTTTTTTAATTTGAAATATAACTTAAAATGTGTTTTCAATTTTCAAGTATAATCAATTACTCCCTCTGTCTCAATTTATGTGACACATTACATTTTTCGAGAGTCAAACAATTAAGCTTGATCAAAATTTTGCGCATGACATCTTCAATTTTATAAAATGAAATTTATATATTTATAAACTACACAAAAAGTACTATTACAATAATCAATAATCAAAAAAAATATAAAATGTATGAAAAATTTAAGGGAAAAGGTTTGAAACAAATATAACTTTAAAATATACTATAAAATAATCGAAGGAGTAACAGTTTTTTCATAAAGTTTGGTATCGTAACAACAATTTCAATCTGAAGTATTATTCAAAAAAAAATTCCCAA